AGGGCCTTTTTCTTCTCATATGATTGATGATTGACGGGGGTCAAATGGAAAAACACACATGAACCCCTATGAACCCCTAACGTTGCAAATAGGAGCACTAATACTCAGTGTTCCATGGCTCCCTGCCCATTGAATCCAATTATATTTTAATCCACACTCAAGGATCCATCGTTGATTTGGCCCGTGGTTTCACACGCTCTTGCGAAAGGCTCAGGAGGCTTTCAGCGTTGAATTATCCATAGCGAGGGATTGGGGGCTCACGGTTGAACACCAAAATATATTCAGCATGCCAGTTTGCAAGCAAGAGTCTCAGCGGGTGGAGATTCATCATGCTGGCAATAGGTGCGCTGGTGAGTTTGTTTGCGGTGATCTTCAGTGCAATTTGTGACCCTTTGGTGTGGCCTTCGGCTTCTCCTCCTCATGGGCACGTCCTATTTCTTTTCGCTGTTATGGGCTCACTAACAACACTGGCGACGCCTGTCAAGCTCTTTGCCGCAGCGCTCTTCTGTGAAGTCTTTTTGCTATTGGCCCTTCCCTTGTGCCTCTTTAGTTCCTGTCACGTAGAAAGACTCACGATGGAACGGTTTATGGATGGTTCGTGAGTCGTGGTCGGGCCCATCTGTCTCTTCCCTGTGGCACCCCCAAGATCCACCCGTTATTTTATATTATGGGGGTGCCCGTCTATTTTTATTCATTTCTTATCTTTATCACCATTAATTATATTAAAAGACCTAAAAATTAATGGTGATAATTATATTTACTTTATGTGATCTTGGTGCCTACCTACCCCTTTTGTTCCTTTATTGTACCCTGGTGGTGGGATGCTTCAGTCATCCCGCTCGTTCCGCCAGCATTGATTTTGCTATGGGTGACCATTTGCCAGTCCCTGTGTGGCACAACCGCGTGGAGAAGCGCTGGGCAGGGGGTCTCATGGTGATCTCCCTGGTCAGCCTTCTAGTTGGAGTGCTGCTTCTTGTTGCAGGGAACTTCCTCTGACCTTCATGGCGCCGCTCGGTGTTGAGTTCTCATCCATGCTTCTGCCGGGGAGATTTGCGGAAGAGTTCGGCAAGTTTGGTAGCTATGTTAGTGTGGCAAATGTCCGGCGGAGAATTAGACTCGAGATGATATGATATTTTGTGACGTGGCCGCCTCCAAGTGTAGCATGAAGAATCTCATCAGTTGGACTGCGGTGAAGCCAGGGACGTGGCCAAACTCCTCACCCTTTTTGAATTCCTCGGTTAATTAATGTCATTGCATTGGACCTGAAGTCGAATAGCTGCAGCTTCCTTGGCGTCTGTTGGATGTCGGGCGGCAAGACGTAGTAAGCAATATTGAGCAATAGCAAGTTGCCCAGCCAACCACTGGTCAGAGGACCAGAGGAGTCATTTAGACATATTTAGACACCCTGGTTGCCTTATGCTGCCTGCGCTTTATTTGTGGTCTTTCTCTCCCTGCTTCATGCCAGCTGACTGCCAGGCAGCCTGGGTCCTCAGCAGGGTGAAGATGGATTCCCAAACGAGATGGCAATCATAAGTGGGCTTGAAAGAGATTCGGGCTTCGAGTGCAAGTTCATGAGCTTCGATCTTGAGATGTTCCATGTAATTTCCCTTTGCAAGCCCCCATGTGCATTGGTAGATCAAACATTAACATATCGAACCCACAGATTCCCCCCCCAAAAAGAAGCACCGACGAGGTGACGCTGGGGCGAAGCGTTACACCGGCTCCTTTTTTGGAGGCGCCGAAGGAAGGGAGCACCATCGCAGGTTCATTCAGTTGCATTGCTGTTATGATGTGGATGTACATGCACAACATATTGCAATATATAATAATATACATCTATAAATAAATAAAACATATTATATATACTTGCATCGAAGTAGCTTTTGCATCTGATTTTTGTTTTTTTTTTTGTGTGTGTGTGTTTCTTTCTTTCTCCTGGGCCTTGTATTTGTACTAGGAGGTGGTCCATGGTCATGTGCAAGTGTTTGCTGTTTCTATACATTATATAAGGCTTATTGCATTTTGTTGCACCGCATGCCCCAGAGCTAGGCATGAAATATGAGCCTTGAGAGTAGCCTTGAGCACTTGTCAATGAAGGACTCCACTTACAGAACCCAAATCAAGAGAGGTGACTACTAGTTGCTGGCAATTTTCGTGGTAGGATTTCACAATATGCAACAAGGCCTCCAGAACAGAGAAAGTCGACCGAGAGCATGGAATGAGCTAGAGGGGTGATCTGGAGAATGGGCGCCTTGGGGCATGTCCATGGGAATGTGTTAGGCAGCATGTCTGCATCCTTCGGTCTCTCCAAGGGATTCATGCAGATTAAACTTTGCCCGCACACCACCCAAGCTGGACCGGATAGCTACAAGCACAGTGACCAGGTGTGGGGAAACGCACCGGGGCAACCAGCTCTAGCTAGGGCTCCAGCTACTCACCCGCAGAACCAGCTACATCGGTCCGATGTCGGTTTGTTGCTTTTCTCGTCGGCGAAAGCGCCCGGCTGCAGGGATCCAGAGGGACATCACTGACATGGACAGGCTGGGCAGGCTGGGCGGGTTCAGCGAGCTGAAAGGACAGGAGACGCCTGGACGGGGTTTGTGGGCCTTTAGATGATGATTAGATCACTCCAAAAGTGTCCGGCTCACCGGTGATGAAGATGATGAAGAGAGACAGCAGTAAAGGTTGGCCGTCACAAGAGAGAAATTGGCAAGATGATTAGTTGACAACTTACGACTGATACATTGATTCCATACTCCTTCCAGGGAGCCAGAGGCCAGTGACACTTGTGTGACATGTTGGGTTTCGTAGTTGACCATCTCTCCGCAGCTGATCTCCAGCCTCAGCTGACAATGTAGTGATCAGTGACCTTTGGAAGGTCCAGAACTTCAGGAGCACCGTCGGGGCAACTCAGGTGAGGAAACTAACCCTGTTTGCGAATTAAGGTTTGGATTTCTGATGACTTCTATACCTACTTTCTGAGAAGGGAAGGAGGCCCCGCCGAGAACGAAACGGGTGTGTACGACTGAGCAACGTTTGACATCCAGAAAGCAACAAAGTCGTCGTTGTAGCGGTTGCGAATAGCCATCCACATCCACTTCAATTTGCCACAGAGGTTACAGTATGTATCGTAATTTTGCTATATTTTGCTAATGTTTGGTATGTATAGTTGCTCTACTCGCCGCGGCTAGGACCGTGATGCGCTGGATTCTGGCAAGCCTCGTGCTGTCACTGGCACAAGGTGCGCGGACAATCGCGAAATGTGCCATGTTTTACGATAGATTCCTGGAGGATCCTGGAGGATTTGCTTCAATCGTGTGCCTCCTAGAATTGCTGAAGTAAACCGAAATGGAGATTCCGGGAGGCCTCAGGTGGTGAAGGATCTAAGCTCACCGACCACTGCATGCCATTGACACGATAAAGACAATATAAAGACAACACCACGGAATATTATATATATGTAATTACTGCACACACATAATATATATAGTAATATATATATATATATAGACGGATCTCCAAAACTTGGACTCGAGGTTTGCTGGCTGCTTTTTGCATGGCGGCCCACTTGCTAAACTGTACTCAAAGTTCCATTTTAAGATGTTGGCAGAGTCGTTTGATAAATTACAAGTTCACAAGTTACATCCTGGCCGATTCACTTCACCTTCGCTGGGTACTTAGCGCAACAACGCTGATAATTTCCGCCTGGCCCCCCGTGAGTATAAATTGAACCCATTTACATCCATTTACCGTTTCCTTCAAACCATTAGGTTGGAGGCCATCGCTACTAGTAGCAAGGACGCTATAGTAGGTTGGAGGCCATCGCTATTAGGTTATTTCCTGGTCTCCGCCTCCGAGGCCTTTTGGACTCAACACAGGGGCAGCTGAATCGACACTGGCGGGGCTGGGCTTCGCGTCTTCGCCGAGTGACCGTGGTGGGACCGACACGCCCGGAACACGGGTCCTCCAGCCCCTTTGGTGTCCGGGTGTCCGCCAACTGGTCGAACTTCTAGAGTCTAGAGTGATAGCTTGCTTTTTCGGCAGTCCTCCACAGGTACAACAGCAAGATATTGATTGAATGAAGCTGGGGGGGGAGAATGGAGAACCACCTTACCAGGTCCATCACACACACTCATGGACAAATTAAGCAGCTAGGTCCAGGTGGCAAGAGTTCCGAACCAACTAGACCCAATGAGGTAGTATGCTGTATGATGCTGTATGCTTACTTAATACGTCGCCTGGGGTCCACGTGTCACCATGGAACCGCCTTGTAGGTGTCGATCGATTTCTTCAACGGGTCCAGTGAGGAGTCTGGCGAGTCGGTTTGAACACGGAGTCTGTTCTAACACGTCGCCTTCTGGGCGCAGTTGGGCTGCAATTTCCTGCAGGCACCACTTCAATCGCTTGGATATCGAGCGGCGACAGGCGGGGGCCTGGTGAGAGTCGGACTTACACGGTGGCAGAGGTAGACAAGGTCAGCGAGCCGCGTGTTTGGTGGGATCAGTGAGGCCTAGACCCGTGGATGGCTTTGCTGCGTGAAGTATGAATTGCAGAAATATCTTCAATGTTTACTTATTGCTGAAATATATCTCGCTGATTGTTGGAGGATATATATATATATACCGGAAAGCTGACCTCTCATGAGATCGGCTAGTTGCTCAAAACCTGAACCCGGTTTTGTGTAGTTAGCTTTCAGCTGGAAGACAATCCAAAGAAACTACCATGACGTTGACAAGCTGGCTGGTCTGACAAGGCCTTGCGTCGTATGTTACGCGGCACCACCGGCTCTCCAGACGAGGTCGGCACGGGAGGAGGTGAAATGGATGGTTGCTTAACAATTTCACACACGTGCTGCATGAGCATCTGGTCTATGTACGGTCAGTGGATGTTTGTTGCAGCCAACATTCTTCAATGCTTCTTGGATGTTTCTACGTCATGAAAGAAGCAATAATGAGGCCTCTCCTGTGCTGATGTCCAATACGTTCCGGCAAGATGACAAGGTTGGTGAACTCGATTCAATGCACTTGCCTTTTGACTCTGGCATGAGACACCACCAAAATCGGGCAGCTAGCTTAGCAAGGAGTGTGTTCAGAAGATGCCTGCTTGCTTCTGGACAAGCCTGGAATCATCTGGAAGCTTTAGTCAAGCCACATGACTTTAAGATGCTGGTCTCCAATGCAATGGTCGGACAATTTCCAGTTTCTGGCCCACCCAAAAATCTTGGCTCCGGTGCTGGCGAACCAGTACCGGGCCATCTTAAACCATCAAAGCATCCTGAAGCAGTGCGCAACAGAACACCCTGAAGCACCACATGGTATGTGTGAGGAACTTCATGAAACTTCCTCTTGAACTCTCTTGAATTGCCTGGTGAATTTCAGAGCAGGAAAATTGCTTGAAGCTCGTCCTCATCCAATTCTTCTTCTTGCTTTTTGGCAAGGGCACGAGCGTGAGCAGCACAATCTACGAAAGCCAGCTCCAATTTGGTGATTCAAATCCCAATTCATTGCATGTGATTGCCCGGAATTCAAGCATGATTATTTGACATAGGCATGTCATGGCATGTCTGAACGGGGTAAACTTCTACCAATCCGACCCTGGGGAAGACAAGCCCAGACGTATCTCTGAGCTTGATGGATCCGGACTGGTTCACCACGGCTGGTTTTCCTTCCGACATCACATGCAGGGAAACAAGAAGCTAGTAGAAACAAGTGCCACGCTACTAGAACAAGTGCCTTACTAGTAGTAACAAGAAGCTACTAATTTTAATTCTACTAGCCTTCTTGTTACTAGTAGTAAGATCAAATGCTCAAGGTCAACGTCTTCAGGTTTTGCAGATTGACGCTGTGTGTGTGTCCCACCTGCCCAGGTCATGCAGCCAATTTCCGTGCGCAGGAATGCCCTGTAGTTAATTAAGCATATTGAACATGACGATATGACCATAGAAGACTCATAGATTGTATGGATGCACACAACCTTTTTACGGTATTCTTGTGGCATGTACTTCTTGTAGAAAGCTGTGTCCACCCCCACCCACAGCATGGCACCTGTGGGCACTGCCCTAGAGAGGGAGGCCGAGGGTGCCGCAGGAGAAGTTGATAAGCGTGGACGGCGTCTATGACAGCCTTCAAGATCAGCGTAGCCACGAGCGGGAGCTGCCGTCGTTACAACCAGGGGGGTCCATTTGAGGATGGTGTGGTCCAGCGAGCCAGTAGAGATCCCCAAAGGCAGCGGATGTGCTTAGAATTAGCTCATAACATGTGACAATCCTTGAGTTTCTGAGTTTGGAGCTACTTTGTGTATTGTCAGAATGCTCCATAGAGCGCATAGAGTTCCAGCATGAGCTGAACATTTCGTTGTTCGGAACATCGGAAGTTGTGATACTATATGTTGTGGGCCGGGCAATATTTATCTAGTGGCGGCTTCTGATTCAGATTTGTGGACAAATTGGACGCCCTCTAGAAGTAGACAAGTTCCGCTTGGAGAGATGTAATTACCTGCCAAACAGGTGGGTTTCCACCAAACCATGATGGTTGGTGTGTGAAAGTGCTGTTCATGCAGGTCCGGACGAAACACTTCCTGGATAAATCCACTCCACCGCTGATGCGAGCGCGTCCAGGACTCAATGATGGCCTCCTTGAGTTCTCAAGGCAATGGATTGACGGGCGTGTGCCTCCCACGTGGGTTCTTTTGCTGGTTCTGTAGCTGGACCACTGGAAGACATTCAATGACTGGTGACTAGAGAGAACGAAGATGCACCGTTTTAGCATCAGAGCTTGCTGGTCGTTCATGTGCCTTGCAGGGAAATCATTATCATTTGCTGAATGATTGCCTCTTAGTTCTCATTGTGTTTGGCTTGTATTCATATGTTTCATATTGTTTTTCTTAGCCTCGCAATTGTTGTGCAAACGCTTTGCTGACTCTCGCGCTGTACCTAAGTACAGTACTGAGTACCATTAGAATGGCATTTATTTCCCAAGCATGTGTCATTGGGCTCGCCTCCAGCAGGCGCACGCGCAGAAGTGGAAGATGCGCCCCTCATCCACGCTGCCCAGCGGCACCACGACCTAGCTTTGCTCACCAACCCCACGCACTACATCTTGAATGCTGGCAAAGATGGGCTGCCCATCTCAGACGGGAAGCGGCCCAGCTGGCTGTTGAAGGAGGATGAGCTAATTCTCGATGCAAGGCGAGATGGGTAGCGGACGCCCAGCATGTTTAGAGCTGCACTAGCATATGACCCGGATTTCCTGGAAACAGCTTTGCTTTAATCAATTATTACTGTCCAGCAAGCAGGCCAAACATGCCGCTCGTTGTCGGCACGCTGCACGTTGATTTGTGTTAAAGAGATGTCATCGGTCATCATTTGTTGTACAGTATTTTTAGTGTGTGGCCCTGCACACCATCTAAAAATCTGAAAAAACAGACAGCAACTTGAGGCTAAAGTACGCATCAGCACAGAACATGCAGTGGTGAAGCGTTTTCAAGACTGCAGATGCTCGGGTTGGTTCCTGCCAGGAAGGTGGCACATGGAGGCATACTCATCGCGCAGCCGGTGCTGATGGATGCCACCGGCAGCTGGGGTCAAAACAAAGCCTCCAGACCCCTGCAGCTCAGTATGCAATTGGGGTCTGAGGATTAACTCAGGCTGAAGAGTTGTTTTTCAATGAGTTTAGCACGAACGAGGCCGATTTTTTCCGGCTGGTGAAGTCTTTGTTCAATCAGATCAATAGATTTGCATGTAATTTTGTATGATAAATGCCAATTCTTGAAACCCCCAAACTGGCCCCAAAGTATGTTGATGAATCCGCCCACGCCAGATGCAAGTTTTTTGGTGGCTCCGGGCCATCCTCGCCACCAACCGACACCATGCCAGTGCCTTGTTCCACCCATTCGGATGCAGTTGGCCAAAGGGTTTGGAGGAGATGTCTATTTGGTTCAAGTAAGATGTTTGCAAATCATTCAACACACGCACACACACACACACACTTAGGATAGGGTGTACTGAACTGAAAGCGGTGCCACACGCCTGCCTAAGAAACCAAATCCTGAAAAGTCCAGGAAACCCTATGGAGCCTGGAGGTCTTCAAGAGGAAGTGGGGCCAAACTCGCAAGCGAAGTCGAAACGACAGGGTGACGGCGGAACGTGCAAGTCTGCGGAGTGTCAAATGCAACTCAGCAAAATTAAAATTCAAGCAGGTACAGGTGGATGATCAGTCCACCCCTCCCTCGTCATACCGCAGCTTCGTTGCGTACGGTGGGTATGACGAGCCGTACGCCCCTGCTGAAAGCCAATTCAAAAGAATCCCTGTGACTACAAGGGGTACACACACACACACGCCTCCCCGAGGGGAGGCGTAGACCCGAGGTTAAGGCAAATGTGCACGTGTGCGCGCGCGAGACCCAAAAGAATGAAGACATGACAAGAGGACAGGACGGGACAAAGGTGTAGGTGGTTGTGATGAAAGGGGAACCAAGTGCACAGGGACAAACAATGAAACCCACCTGATTATAAAGACCTGGGCCACCTAAAACCTAGGCTTCATGTACATGTAGTTGTGCACGTACACACTAAGGCCGGGACCAATGTGCGCGCAAACGAAAGAAAGGATGAAATGAAAGACATGAAGACAGGAGGACATGAAAGGAAAGAGGAAAACAGAAGTGTGTGAAGGGGAAAAGGATGAAAAGGGAACCAAATGGAGGGGACGAGAACCGATGAACCCAAACCTCATTAAAGAACCTAGGCAAGCCTCGTTGAACATGTACGTACTGTGTGTGCACCTGAGGTGGCGACGGGTCCGTCACGTACAGGCATGAGCCATCTTCAATAAATTCATCAGATCTTGGCAAATAATTTTGGCATAAGCCTCCTGCTGTCCGCTCCGGACACCTACGTTCCCAAAGCCGGGGAACATGGACGTACACCCGTTAGACGGGTCCACGGGAGGCACTCTGCGGGCTCATCCCGGGCTGGCCGAGGCCAGACACACTTAGGATAGGGTGACCACTGAACTGAAAGCGGTGCCACACGCCTGCCTAAGAAACCAAATCCTGAAAAGTCCAGGAAACCCTATGGAGCCTGGAGGTCTTCAAGAGGAAGTGGGGCCAAACTCGCAAGCGAAGTCGAAACGACAGGGTGACGGCGGAACGTGCAAGTCTGCGGAGTGTCAAATGCAACTCAGCAAAATTAAAATTCAAGCAGGTACAGGTGGATGATCAGTCCACCCCTCCCTCGTCATACCGTAGCTTCGTTGCGTACGGTGGGTATGACGAGCCGTACGCCCCTGCTGAAAAAATCTGGCAAATCAAGCAAAGCCAACTCAAAAGAATCCCTGTGACTACAAGGGGTACACACACACGGATGTATATATACATATATAGACACACATACACAGCAACTAGACTACGTAATTATATACTATGTCTGTTATATGCCTCACAGGATAGATAGAAGTGGAATAGGGCGGCATGAAGGATGTTTGCATTTCTCGTTCGTGGAAAACAGAGCAGTTATGAGTTATGAGTCCATTGTGGGCAATTTGCATCTATTACAATTGTTGTATTCACATGTTTTTACAAACCATTCTTCAGTCTTGAGTCACCAGAAAACCAAGCTTGAAGGGCGCAGGGAGAGGGGAGGGAGGATTCTGGTCAATGTGTGCAATGGCTGTGTGGGGGTCAGAGTTTGGGGATGCACCACAGAACGACCCGCTTCACTTGCGCGGTTGGCATTTGTCCCAAGATCCACTGCAACTGGGTGTGGTCATGATTGATTTGTCGCGGGCACCATGCAACAGTGTCCTTGCTCAGGGTTGCATGGACATTGCATCATTCTACGCTGGCAGCCAACTCAGCCCCAGCTTACAAAGTGGCAGAAGAGGCGGTGCGGCAAGACGGATGAGAAGAAACTTTTCTGGAACTATATACAGTAGTAGGTGAAGAATTGGGAGGTGCATTTGGTGGGGTCCCCCAATGCAAAGCCAATTGATGAGCCAAACTGGTGGTTGATGGACATGCGCTCAAGAGGATGGTGTCCATCAACAGGGGATTGATTGCAAGATTGTGAGAGAGTTTCTGTTGTGAGCGGCTCAGATTAAGACATGTATGTGGGCACACATCTCTTCATATCACTTGCTTTGCCCTCTGCCTCTGCTATGTTTGTGCATTTTCTGTTTTTAAAGCCCCTCATGATGTGATCACAACGAGTTCCAAGACAGATTCCAGCCAGCGATGCCCCTCATAATCCTTGGGCTATTTGATAGGACCCGGCTCGGTGTGGAATGGTGTGAACAGGAGGAAAAGCCCAACCTGCCCGCAGCCCAGGAGCTGCACCCGACAGAACGAGCGTGAAAACTTTAACTGGGAGAAGCACTTGAGACTTGGGCAGCATGGAAGGGCCACCTTTGATCTCAAAATCTATCCAAACTACAGAGTGAAACCTGTTCAAACGTGGGCTATGGGTCCTAGCCCCGCACTGCCATGAAGATTGACCTTCCCAGTAGTCCATTTTGCTGCTTTTAGGGTAAGGCGGGGTTGTCAGTTTTTTTGCTCATGGCCATGTGCTGGACTTCGATTCTTTTGGGATCCATCCTATCACGATGGCTGGGAGACGGCTCTTGAAGGCTCGGTAAACACAGCACTAGAATGACATACATATATATGTATATAGATAACATATGTAGAACTAGAATGACATATACAACGGACATATGACATATATATTAAATTACGAAAGCCAGCCTTCGTAGAAGGCGCTAGCGGAGTTGTGTCTGGCGAACGAAGTGAGTAGTTAGGGGGTCTGGGGGGGTGGCCCGAGAAAGGTATACGTCAACTCGGCACATGCTGGGGGAGGAGGGTGCTTCGAGGGAAGGTTTTTTGAGGTTGTGTTGGAGGTGATTTTTGAGGGGTGGTGATGCAAGAAATGCCAAATGCATCATTTGCATCATCTGAATGGAAAGGTGTAGTTGGCACCTTGCAAGGTATAGAGACCTAGGGTAGCCATAGTGCAGCTACCAGGTATAGTACTTCAAGTTGCCTTTCCGTCAACCGCTTGAGAACCTCTACACACGCACAGCAATCCACAGCTTTGAAGTCTCATTCGTGCTTTGAACTTGTATAGGTGTGTAAGAGGTATAGCAACATAGTATTTATACGGACCCAGGGTAGCTACAAGTAGCTACAGTTCTGTTCCCGGGTATGGCGCGCATGAGGCTTCAAAGCTGTGGTTTTCAAGCTAAATTCAAGGTGGCCTGAGACCAGGGTTTGCTGCCCTAAAACACTCTGTTCAGGCCACCTTGAAAATAAAGGTGTAGTTGGCACCTTGCCAGGTATAGACACCCAGGGTAGCTATGTAGCTGTGGTTTTCAAGCTAAATTCAAGGTGGCCTGAGACCACGGTTTGCTGCCCTAAAACACTTTGTTCAGGCCACCTTGAAAATAAAGGTCTTGTAGCTACAATTCCATGAGGCTTCAAAGCTGTGGTTTTCAAGCTAAATTCAAGGTGGCCTGAGACCAGGTTCAGGCCACCTTGAAAATAAAGGTGTAGTTGGCACCTTGCCAGGTATAGAGACCCAGGGTAGCTATGTAGCTGTGGTTTTCAAGCTAAATTCAAGGTGGCCTGAGACCACGGTTTGCTGCCCTAAAACACTCTGTTCAGGCCATCTTGAAAATAAAGGTGTAGTTGGCACCTTGCTAGGTATAGAGACCCAGGGTAGCTATAGTGCAGCTACCAGGTATAGTACTTCAAGTTCCCTTTCCGTCAACCGCTCGATAGCCTCTACACGCGCACAGCCATCCACAGCTTTGAAGTCTCATTCGTGCTTTGAACTTGTGTAGGTGTGTAAGAGGTATAGCAACATAGTATTTATACGGACCCAGGCTAGCTTCAGAAGAGCACTCCGATACTTCACTCACAGCACTCCTTGAAGAGCATGAGTCGCTTGCGCATAGCCACCAGAAACAAAGGATCTTAGTCTTACTGGAAGTGGAATGAAACACCAGGACCTTCAGAATGACCTCTTTGGAGTCCAAGTGACCTCATTCGGGACTAAGTGACTAAGTGACCTCATTCTGGGATCTCGGACGGTCACTTTGAAGGTCCTGGTAGACACCAAATGATGTCAATGTGGATAGATTTGGCTACGGCCTAAAACATCGGATTCCATCCAAACCCCCCCCTGTGCAGAGGAAAAATCCGGGCAAAATGACACCGAACCCCTCAATTGCCAGGAAGCGCAGGTTTTTGTTTTGACATGGTTACCTCTGTGTGGGCAGAACAAGACATGAAGCAGATTTGACACGCGGCCGCAAGCAGCTGCGCGAGCTCATTTGCTTGCTTCGACGCGCAGTTGTCGAGAAAGGGAAGCGCTGGCTTTCGTTTTGCAGCTTCTCAGGTATAGTATGGATTGTTGTTTACGCACCGTTCCCCCTATGACTGACAGCTTCAATGCCAGGTGTGCCACGTAATCGGCATTCAGTGTGTGAGCTTGGTCCCATTCGACACTTAGGATGCTCTATGAGTACTTGATGAGCCCGCAGAACTTCACCCACGTGCTCATGTTGGATGCGGATGCTGCATTGGTGAAGCACAGCGTGGACATTCTGGGCGTCCTGGCTCAGACTCACCAGATGTTTACAGGCGACAGACGTCTGACAGACGTGTGAAGCCGTTTTGAACGCGCAGCGCGGTATTCTCCTATGTGGGAGGGTGTTAGAGTGTCAAGAATGAGTTTGATGTCGCGGAGTCGGCTGAGGTGGCATCGCAGCGCAAATGGCGCAGCGGAATTTGGATGTGTTTCTGACCAGCGACGCGTGCCTGGCATTTCTCATGATTTCACAATCCAAAATGTGCAAAGAATACTCCCTGCCCTCCGACAGATACAAAAATGCACCCCCAAATTTAAACGAATGGTTTGTGGAGAGCACCTGATTCAGGTGATTCGGCGATGCTTGTTCAGATTTGGTGGGTGCCAGTTTTTCCAGCTTCCAGAGCGTTTGCAAGCTGATTTCGCCAAAGCTTGGAAGCTTGGATGGCGTGAAAGGGGGTCCACCCTGATGTGCCGAGGAGGATTGGCTCCTCAATGGCGAGCGTCGGATCAATGGTGGCTTCTTGATGACCAGGCAAGCGGCAAGCGAAAAAAAAAACTTTGAGGTCTCAACTTCGCAATGTTTGGGAATGTTCGGGATGTTCATGGATCTTCACTCAAACGTTTGCAGCCAGCTTGAGCTTTTTCAACAAGGCTTGGTTTGGTGGAGGTCCCAATCCGACCCTAAGCAATAGGATGCACAGTTGTTGAACTGGCTCTAGAACTTTGGGCCCGGTGGAAAGCAACGCCGGCCCCAGATACTGTTGCGTCTCTCACCACCGCACAGGAATTCAGAGTGGTCGGAGCATTTGTTCAAGGAGATGCCGGCTTAGGTTCGATCCTTCCCTTGCTTCCTCAGATGTGACTCATCAAGAGACACGGTTTTTGGCCGTAGCAAGGATGTGGAGGTCAACAACCAATGAAAAGATAGCCCCAATTCATGGCTACAACAAGTGGACAAGAATTGGCCTTGGTATGCAACGCTCGTCCACTTGCAGATTTTGCAGCTGGACCAAGAAGCTGCCAGTATGTGAATATGCGGTCTGCAGATCTTTCAAGCAACTAGGACAGTGCCACAGGACACCAACTACAAAGCAAAGGCTGTGTAGGGTCTCTCTTTGGGAGATTTGCACCAGCCAAGGAAAAATCCATGCTGTTTTGTGGTACCTTGGACTTTCCCTGCTCATCCAAAGTTTGACAACTTGCCAGCAACATGAGTAACAACATAGTATTGTAGAGGATATCTGCAATTCAAAGGCCTTAGCTATGTTGCCAGTTTGACCACAGATTGATATTGTGAATGTAAAGACCACGGAGAACCTCAGAGGCCTCTCCCAGCACCATGCACCGGCACACATCATTGTGCGAGGACACCTTCCGCGCCCACGTGGTGGGTCCAGGAGGCCTCCGAAGATGGAAAATCGGAGTCTTGGAAGTGGAGTCTGAAATAGGTGATGGGAGCCGAATGTGATTCATGGAGTCCTAGGGTCCTAACTCCAGCCGCTTAGAAGCTGGTTTTCTGGTACTTTTTCTGGTGTCCATCTCGTTCTAAGATTTTCCAGTGGCCACAGGATGGGCAACAGCCAAGGATTGCCGCACCAAGAATGCAGCAGCAATGAGCAGATTTGCTTGAATGACATCATGAGTGGCGTGAGCCTAAGCAGATGCAGATCGAGGGCCCAGGGATATGAATACTGAATTATGATGCTTCTCTATGCTTTCAGCAAGTCTCGGAGACGAGTGTACAAAGTATAGGCACAAACAGGAGACAGGATGGAGTAGAAGTTGTCGATGTAGTAGCAGCTGGTAGTATGTTTTTTGTGTTTTCTGAAGTGAGTGTCGTGCATGTGGCCTTATATAACTGTGGTAGCAGGCCTAGTTGTGGTGGTTGTCTAGCCTGGTTGTGGCTGTGGCGTTTGCTGCTGCTGCTGCCGCCACCGCTGCTGCTGCCCCTGCTCCTGCTGGTGTTCTTGTAGGTGGTGGCGGTGTCGTTGTTGATGTCGTCATCAAAATAGAGGAGGTCACAAACCGAAGTTTGACAGTCCTACGGTCGCTACAGCCGCTGAATAAATATATAGTAAATGCAAAAGCAAACCAGTGCTGCCCGCCAGAGTCGCAAGCTCTCAGGTTCAAGTTTGAACAAAAAGCTGGTCAAAGGGCACATGTCTTTGGAGACTTGCCTGACCACGGGAATGGGACAGGATAGAAACAGATTGCCAAGAATTTGTTTTGAAGTTCCTCCTGAGGGTGTTTCAGGCCCAGAGATTGTCCAAACAAAGAAAGAACATCAAACAAATTGGTACACTGGGGCCTCAATGTCCACGGACATGGGAGATGTTTCACTGTGTCAGCCATGCAGTGAGGGGAGTAGCGGTGACAAGAATACAGTGTGACTGGTGGCTGCTTTGTTTGCGTGAAGCTTATACACAGAGAAGGTTCACGAGTGTAGTGGAGTGTGGAAGATCCACATTTACAGCAGACATCAATCATGATGACACCCAAGACTGATCCTGGGCTGTGTGGCTCAAACGATTGCGATATATTTGGAACCTTTAAATGCCTCAAAAGCTGCGTCAATTGCACTTGGGTTGTGTTGCGACAGGGATCCTGACGTCCCACAGACAGGACGTGACTAGATTAGATTTGATATACCTCCTTCATCTCCTACCAAGCTTTCCCCCGCCTGGCAGCACTGCTGGGTCACATACTTTAGACCCCGATCCCAACTATCCCCAACTTGTTTACCATACCCATACCAAGCTTTGGGTTGTGCCGGTTCGTTCCATTCGTGCACCATTTGCCTTGAGGAAAGTGGCATCATTTACAACCGTGGTGGTTGCACAGTGAAGCACTGTGGCGAGCCCACCACTGATCCAAAGATGGAGGTCGGATACGTGCCAATGTCAGCGTGGGATCTTGTTGGCCGTTCTATATGACCCAAATCATTTGAGGTGTCAACTGATCAAGGTGGGGGTTAGTGCCATAGCTGGGCTTGCGCTGGGAATCATGACATGTAACCCTGAATTGATTTGGGGTGGGCTTTACTTACGCTCCCCACTACACACACACACACGCACATATATATATATATATATTATACACATAAGGATTGTAATTTACTCAGCTGGATGCCAAGACGCCTTCCAGACTGGCCACAGTTTGAACCATGAAGATTCGGGACCGGGCCCTTGTCAGCAAGGCGCTGGGAATGAAAGACGAGCGCCACTTGGCAATGATGCCATTGAGCCTTGTAATTTTATTTTGCAGCATGAGTGACCTGAAGTCAACATTATCAAGGTACCAATGCATTCTGTAAATCCTAAATTTGGTGTGGGCATTCAGTTTGTCCCCCTTAGTCCTTTGGCTGACTTTGTCAACCAAAACCCTGAATTGCCGTCAATTGGATGTAGACTTTTTGGCTTCCTGCTTCGAGAGAGTCCCAGCGTTCGCTCAAGGCGCTCTCATGGACCCAAGTTCAGAGTTCCGCTTAAAGGCTGAGTTCCGTTGACTCCACGATGGTAGGGTGCGTTTGAAGGATCCGCAGGGCGGATACCGACATGCGTCCCTCCAAAATACTTACAATATTTCACTCAATATTGGTTGATCAACCATGTCAAGGTCATAATGTCTTGACCACTCTTCACTTCCACAAACCGTTGCAGCCAACAATATCGTCATGTTATTCCCTGTGCCCTCAAGAAATGAAATAATGTATATAACAACTTTCCAGAAAAAGCCATCAACCATAAATAGCAACATCCAAACAGGACACCACAACACTCTTCACACACACATATATATATATATATCATATCATATACATATCAGTTGAAACGGCTCAAGCCATTTCAGCATCAAACCAACTGGCCGGACGGCCTTTTGGTAGTGCCGACCTACCCGATCACCACAAGGCACTGATCCACGCGGGCCAGAACGCATTAGAGAATGCGCAGGCAATATTTGGTGTGCCACAAATGCCGGCACAGCTGGATTTGGGGCGATAGGTTGATGGAAAACCCAGGTTTGAAGTGCAACCAATGCGGAGCGCGGTGGCAAAAAGACCATCTACCTGATTTGCGAAGAAAGAGACAGGTGACATGGGCCCCTTGGAATTTCGAGGGGAACGGGCAAAGATGGCCGACCAAGACCTACAAGGAAGCGCTGCTTGAAGCCCCGCCGGGCTTGCACGGTGGCCAGAGAAAGAAAAAGACCAAGAAGGAAAAAATCCCACACCTCGACAAGGCTTTGAAGGACCATTGGGACCAGCTTCCGGAGGCATTCAAGGAGAAGTGCACCGCAATGGGAGTGGTGGCAGCTGAAGCACCACCTACGCCCGATTTGCCGACGCTGATCAAGGAGCACTTACAGAGCCTTCCGGCTGATCTCAAAGAGGCCGTAGAAAAGTTGGTGGCACCTACCCCACCGGAGCCGCCACTAGCTTCCAAAGTCAAGCAGGCTGTGGGAACATTGAAACAACTTACGGAGAAGAAAGCGGCCATCCAGGCCAAAGCTGACTCAGTGAAGACACAGTATACCCAGCTGTTGCAAGATTTGAAGGAGCTCCAAACCAAGATAGAAACAGCCCAGAAGGAGTTGCAGACGACCACATCACAATACAACCAACAGCTGGAAAACCAAAAGCAGGAGGATGCTGAAATGGCAGAGGAACTGTCACCTGAAGCCTTGGTCACCGCTATGGCCAGTGTGGGCTTGCAGGCGACATCGGCCCAGGTGAAAGACCTGGCGACCAAGCTCGGTGAGACTGCTGCAAAAAGAAGAAAGTGCGGGTAACACCGATTTGGTGACAAGGGCGTCAATAGGGGAAGACACAACTACTAGCTTTGCCTCACCTATGGGGACTGGCGAGTGCAGTGCGACTGGTTGTGCAGTTTTTGGCTCAGGATGTGGGGGGCATTCCTCCGGCGGTCCTGACATGGGGAGACTTGCCATCTCGATGGCGAAGCAGGAGGCTGGGGCTTTCCCAGGCTTCACCGGGGGTGCTGGAGATCATGACACCGCCATGATCATGGCCAGCGAGGATGAAGATGAAGAGATGAGGGGAGAAACTATGCGGGGTCACATGAGCTCGCTAGATTTTGTGGCTCAGTGTTTGCAATGCAGGCTGGGCAATCCAAACAACAGGTGTTTCGCCAACGCTGCTTTCCGTCTTTGGTCTTGGGCCGGGAGTTTCATGGAGGGAAAGCGGATGTGGGCACAAACACACGGAGCAGTCATGCAGGCCTTGCAGGCAGATGAAATTGTTCACCTGCCAAATCTCCAAGGACTTGAGAGTTTGTGGGAGACATTTGATGACACCAAGCAAGATGATGCGTCCCATTTTCTGCAGGAATTGGTAGCCTTGGCAGATACCCGTCGGGTGATTCAAGGTTATCATCAAGTTGATTTCCGCCAAGAAGTACACGCTTACCGAGCTTTCCCTTTTCACTTGATTTTCCATGAAGATCAAGGGACAAATGAGCTTGAGCAACTCATCGCAGCTTGGGCCAATGTGGCAGGTGGGCAAGTGTGTGATGGGATCGGACTATGGGTTGCACAAATTGGCAGATATCGGCAGGTTGATGGACAATGGACCAAACACCACAGGGCTCTCCAAGTTCCATCAATTTTCAATCTGCCGTTGACCCTTGATGGGCAAGAAACACGAACGCAGCAATTTTCTCTCATTGGGTTTTTGTGTCACTCCGGCACGGCACACCAAGAAGGGCACTTTTATGCTGTGTTTGTCTATAGAGGGTTGTACTGGCTGGTCGATGATGGTGCGTACCCCAAGGTCACCCAGACGATCAGTGACAAGATCAAACAACAGATAGTTCAGGTGTGGGCGATTCCTTCCAACAGATTGTTGCCTGCGCATGTTGAGAGTGATGTGGCTGACACACCTCGGGCCAGTTCAGATGAACCGAAGGCCAAGCGAGGCTGCGCTGAAAGCATCGGTTTTGATTTTGCCAATGTCACACAGCTTGGGCAGACAGTTCGACAATGGGTGATTACCAGGCCCCGGCGTCCTCTGTTCATGGCTGAAACACATTTGGGACCCCAAGATCACGAAAAAATGGTGCAATGGTTCACTACTCGGGGCCTAGGAGTGCTTGGAGAACCTGCCGCGGAAAGTTCGAAAGGTGGCACTTATGGAGGGCTCATGCTGGTTTTCCCCTGGCACTTGCATTTTCATTTCATTGAGAAGCAGATTGTTGATGGCTGTGGATGGTATGCAGTCACCTGGACTTTCGCCAACAGTGAACTGGTGTTGATCATGACTTATTTCAAGTGTGGCGAAGGCCTACAAGGGCCCACAAACGCCAGATTGTGGGGAGGTCTGACAGCCTTTGTCAAGCAGGTGAAGAAACCTTTGATGATCTTCGGAGATTTCAATATCACCCCTGAGGTGTTCATGACCACGACGTTGGCTCAAACCATGCAGGTGCAAATCCTGGCGACAGGTGAAGAGACTTGCAACACTGGCAACGAGCTGGATTGGGGGCTTGTGTCAACGCCTTTGATTGCGGATGTCCGGATGCAGGCTGACTGGATGGTGCCATTTAAGCCTCATGCCATGCTTCGTATCAGCATTGCTGGACATTTTGAGGATGTGACAGTCAGACAACTCTCAAAGTATGGGCCTGCTCCACAGATGCAAAAGGTCGAAAGAGAATGGCACCAAATCGAGGCAAAAAATGTGGAGGTCAAATGGTTGAACAAAGAGGCTGATGACCTGACCAATCGAGTTGGGAGCATATATGACAGGATCGAACGATATGTGCTGCAAAACTTGGACAAGCCCAGCCTTGGCCGAGGCACCTCACTGCAATATGTGCAGCGGCCGCTGCATGATCCCAGCAAACCGTGGAAACAGATCGTGAACCTCGGCATCAAGGGGCTTTGCAGAAGCTTGGATGGCACATTGATGCAAACTGGCACAACGAGGCCCCGGTTTCGTGCGCTGGCTACAAGCTGCTGTTCGAAATGTTGTGGCATCAACATGGTGACGAGCACATTCATGTTCTGCTGAACTACACCAAGAAGCAAAGAGAGCTGCACCAACAGACCAGCATGCAACAAGAGACTGAGGAATACCGACAGTGGTTGGCTCAGGCTTCACACAAGGGATGCAAGGGTCTTTTTCGAACTCTCAAGAAGGACGAACTTCCATACCAGCGACCTTTTCAAAATGTGCCCAGAGAAGAGCGCATGGGAAAAAGGGTAAACCAGTGGGGCGCCATTTGGAGAGTGCAGGATCGACCGGTGCGAATTCCTTGCATGGAGCAGCTGATCAACAAAGGCCAAGCAGCAGCCCAGCAGTTCACAGAGCTAAATGAAGGCCAAATCTGGCGCACGATCAAGCAGCTAGCGCTGAAAGCCCCTGGGCTTGATGGCATTGGCTTTGACTTCCTCAAGGCTTTGCCTTTTGGTGCCATGCGTGATTTGAAAGACCTTTTCCACCACATTGAGAGTACGTCCATGATTCCCCACCAGTGGGGCACATCGCTGATAGCCATGCTGCCGAAGTCTCAGGTGATTGAAAGGCCAATCGCCTTAGTAGCCACACTGTACAGACTTTGGTGTCGTCTCCGCAACAACTACACCAAACAGTGGGCCCAATCACTGCAGGAAGATTTCCCATGGGAAAGAGCAGTACCTGGAACTGAGTGTCTCCAAGTCGCCCTCAAGAGAGCTTTCACTACGGAACTACACACAGCGCACAGGCGCAACGTAGTCTCTGTCCTTTTGGATATGTCCAACTTCTACGACCGCATTTGCCTGCAAAAGTTAGCCTGTCGCTGGCTTGATTCAACATACCCGGCGACCCATGCTGCCATGGCTATGCAGGTCTACAGCGGACACCGGATCCTTGAAGCAGAAGGTGAAGCATCCGAACCCTTGTGGGGGACACATGGCATCCTTGCTGGTGATCCACAGGCTCCACTTGCGGCCAAAGTTTACCTTCAGAGGGCACTCAAAGAATTCCACAAGCGATACCCACAGCTGCACACCGACCTGTGGATTGACGACCTCAGTTTTGATGTTGTTGACAGAGATCCACACAATGCGGCACGTGTTGCCATCCAAGCCTATGACTTTGTGAGAAATGAACTTGAAAAGGATGACCTCAAAGTCTCGCCACAAAAGACCGGATTTGTTTGCTCCAATGCAGCTGTCAAGAGGATCCTACAGGAACAGCTCCCACAAGGTGGACCTCGCA